ATTTCCGCGCCTTCATTATAAGCGTACGATTTATTTGTGAGTTAAATTTTAATATGTTAATTTGCTGCGCCTTTTCCTGTGCAAGAAGACAAAGCCCATCACTAATGTGGTTGCAATAAAGTCTTTGGTTGGATAACGTAAAGAGATTTTAATAGAAAAATTGGTTTGCGTTTGTTAATAAACCAAGAAATCGATCAAATTTTATTACTTAAACCGTGAATTCTATTAGTAATAAAATTTGCAGAACACAAATTAAAAAGGCTACATAATATACAGGATTTGCAACTTTAATCCCAATTTTAATAGAAAGAGTTTCTCCACTATTTATGCAAAATTCACGTGGCGCTGCGAGACGAGAGAGCACGGTAAAACAGAGAACTAACTAACGCTCTTTCTGTGCGATGAAATCAACTATAGTATATATGAGTATACTCACACATTTCATTTAATGTGTAGAACTACTACATAAACATAAGGGTGATTCTACAAAAGTTGGACAACTTGATGTCATCAGTCAATAGAGTAGGTATTTTAATATTTTTTGTAAATATTTTAGTATATTACAAAAGATCCAGGTTTTTAACTTGTCTAGCCAATTTTAATGTATTTTTTCAAAAGCAATTTTGTAGAAAAACATAATAAATATTCAAAACATCAGTACCTTGGCGTGTCACAACTCCTGAATCAAATATTTTAGTGATTTTATTTTAAAATATATTCATATTTTATCATAGATTCGAATAATAGCAATTTTTAAAAAATTGATAATCTTTGTACTCACTTTTACCTGTTAGTTCTGTGTCCAATGTTAAAATTCCTGCGAAATATTAAAGTTTAAACGTCAAGTCCTCGTTTTTTCTCAAGTGTTGGTACAAAATTACCTACAGAGCCCGCCCTTTGCACGACAGACATCTTGAAAACAATGCAAGCGGCGAAGTTGTGGTGAATGCACGTATAGTTCTAGTCAAAATTTCAGTACTGTGGTAAGTAGTTATTTTCTTACGTATATATATTTAATTGTAATTTATATAAGGCTATATGTGATTTGTTGATAAGTAGCATCCACTAATAAAAAATATCAGTAAAATACTTAATTCCGAATTATAATCTCAAATTTGTATCCCATTCATCAGTACCGTGTCGTCAGTTCCATGTTCGATGTTTCGGTTATCTTTTTTTCGCAAACTTCAATTTAAATTCTGCTTGCGCAGAACTTGTTTATTTAATGTCATTATAAACTCATATTAATTTGGTGTAGGTCCCATATCTAATAATTGATGTGGTATTATTTGATTTTAAGATATTTAATGTATAATATGCTCAAACTTGCAATAAATCTTATATTTTCCAATAAATTATGTATTTAATTAGTACCCTGGTATACTCGTCACTTCCCTTGCATTCAAATTTAGAAAACACAGATATTTCAGAAACTGTTTGAAAAAGTGACTGGCTCGGTCTGGAACAGTACATTTATTATATTATGTTATGTTCTCATAACAAAATACTGTTTAATTTTCTCCCAAAACTATATAAACAAAATGAGGTTAAAAGTTGCCCAACTTTTGTAGAATCACCCATAACATACTTTTTTACATCGTAATCACGGTAACCACATTAATGTGTTTTATGTAGTTACGTGTGAAATTTTGCACGATTTTACAATTTTGTTGTCTAGTACCTAGATGAGATTAAAAAATGAGTTTCAATTTTCCAATAGATCTGTCAACAAAAAAAACATTTGAGTATTTCATTTTACCGGGTAGGTAGGTAGTATACAACACCGTGCTCTCTCGACTAACTGCGCCCCTAGAGACTCGGTACGTTTAGAGATTTTGACTTCGATGTCAAAATGAGAAAATAGTATATTATTTATCAAGTTTGATAAACGCCATTTTATACACGAATTTAATTTAGGCACGAGCGAGCTTGCGAGCGAGTTCTTAAATTAATGAGTGTATATAAAAGTTTATAAACGAGGTGCATACTATACTTTTTCTACGACAAATACTTATTATTATCTTAAAATGATTTAAATCAAAAAATTTTATAGAGCACCATCTATGAAACAACAGGGTAAACTGTCAAATGTCACATTTTTACATTTTATAAACACAATTATAAAGATTATAAATCTAAATGTATATTGAAAATTGACAGTTTTTCACAGTGAAAGTAAAGGAAATGTTTTATGAGGACTTTACAGTAGAGTCCGTGCCCGAATTTAAGTTATAGTTTACTGCCGGCGAAATTAAAAGGTCAGTACAATGTTCATATAAACTTTTCAAATATTGGCGTTGAGAAACTATTTAATATTTTTGTATTGAGATAATAAAATAATTTTCTTATTTAGTATTATTTTACAAGAAAGGCACTTTATTTTAACGATTGTATGACATTTGACAACTGTCAACTAACTTAAAACTAACTTCATCCCGTGACTAAAAACATGTTGCTAACTTCAGCCCGTGACTAAAGCGTTGTAAAGCCACAACTTGTCAATGTGTATTTAAAAGGTCACTTAGTGTCATGGAAACATGTACGATAAAGGGCGTTTTAAAGGTGGGAGTAGAAAAATTATATTTTTAAACCTCCTCTAAAATCATTTTTGTTTTCTGTTGATAAAGGAAACTTCCTTGTCCATTATAACTATATTTATAGTAAACTAACGAACAAACAAAAATAGACAAAACTTATAATTGTCATTGGTTTTATAATTAGTGCAATTATTCATTCAAATGAATCACAATTAAACTGTAAATAGCTTGAGATAAAGTAACCGCATCATCTGTCTGCGTCTTTGCATACATATGCAATAGAGAGACTTGGTAAACAAGAAAATCTCATTGAATTTACACGGCTGATAATTATTGGTCGCAGCAGACAGGCACAGACACAATGGCGAATAGTTAATAACGGCGTCGTCGTCCTGTGTGTTCCGCCGTATAAAGACTAGAGAGCTCCATAATCCCGTCTACGTAGGCATATTACTTGCAGACTGAATGAATAATCTTCAGACATAATTTGCAATAATGTTTATGTCGACACGTTCGCACCAAGAAAATCGCACATACGAAAAGGATCGCACGTATTCATATAAATGTAGGCGGTCGCGATGAGCTATTGCATTTCCTCGAATTTACCATTTAAATTTGGTAAACAAACAAATGCTAATTGGAAATGAGTCAAGGTGCTTCGGCGAACTAGGTTTTAATTATACAATGTCAAAACAGATTTTCGATGCAAAATATACCAAGCAACATAAACAACACTGTGCGACAGTGAAATTATACATATACAAAGTATCGGTAATAAAGTCCCACAAAAATTTATTTCTCAAGGAGTTTTTGAGATATAGTCAATTCCATGTTAAATGGAAAATTGACTATATCTCAAAAACTGTTCTACTTTTTTAACTTTTGACGGTATTTTTGGATTCCGGGGACAATTTTACATAAGAATTGGCTGTTAAATTTTGGGATACTATGGTATTCCATGGTTAACCATGGTACAAGTAAAAAAGCAGCATCTAATAACTATTAAATTAGTCATTTTTGACTAATTTATTTTTAGAGAGTACATTAAATTTACAAATTTTTGAAATTCACAAAACTACTAGCACTTTTTTGGCAAGCCAATCAGATCGCGTCAAGTTATTTCTTCTTGTTAAGTTTATTTTACTTAAATTCTCCGAAAATAGCATTCAATTGTAATTGTAAACATAACTTTTTACTCCCGATGTAATTAAAAGATAATTATTATCATTACTTTTTGAAAAAGGGCATTTGATTTCATTCAAAAATTAAATCACTGAATTAATTCATGCAAACCCTGATTATAATAGTAAGTATTAATTTAAATAAAGACTTAAGAGATTTAAAATTACAGACATACGGATTGCCATGTTAATACTAAATAATCAATTTTAGCATACCTAGATAAGATAAATAAAATCAAACTTTAGGTGGAAAGTCCTTTTTACTTATTTGTTATGAGGGTGATTCTACAAATGTTGGGCAACTTTTGACCTCATTTGTTTATATAGTTTTCGGAGAAAATTAAACAATATTTTGTTATGAGAACATAGATAATATAATAAATATACTGTTCCAGACCGGGCCATTCACTTTTTCAAACAGTTTCTGAAATATCTGTTTTTTCTAAATTTGAATGCCAGGGAAGTGACGAGTATACCAGGGTACTAATTAAATACATAATTTTTTGCAAAATATAAGATTTATTGCAACTTTCAGCATATTATACATTAAATATCTTAAAATCAAATAATACCACACATCAGTGGCGGCTGGTGGATTTTGGGTATACCGATATCTCAATTATTTAAATTGAAGTTTGCGAAAAAAAGATAACCGAAACATCGAACATGGAACTGACGACACGGTACTGATGAATGGGATACAAATTTGAGATTATAATTCGGAATTAAGTATTTTACTGATATTTTTTATTAGTGGATGCTACTTATCAACAAATCACATATAACAATGAAATATATATAGTATATACGTATATATTATATACGTAAGAAAATAACTACTCACCACAGTAGGTACTGAAATTTTGACTGGAACTATATGTGCATTCACCAAAATTTCGCCGCTTGCATTGTTTTCAAGATGACTGTCGTGCAAAGGGTGGGCTCTGTAGGTAATTTTTTACCAACACTTGAGTTAAAACGAGGACTTGACGTTTAAACTTCAATATTTCGCAGGAATTTTGAATTTTAAAATTGGACACAGCACTGAGAGGTAAAAGTGAGTACAAAGTATTTTTTTAAAATTGCTATTATTCGAATCTATGATAAAATATGAAGAGAATACATTATTTAATGTTTTATAGTTTGTATTGAAATTAAAAAATTTAAGATAAATTGAATATGTTTTAAAATAAAATCGCTCAAATATAATAATAATAATAATAATAATACATTTATTGAACCAGTTAGCATAAATAATATTAAACAAAATTTCAATTCTTAGGCTAAAGAGTTCAAAGGACCAGATTAAGATTTTCATCTCATTCTTCCCCTGGCCCTGGATTATTTTAAAGCAAATAGCACACTTAAGGGATCCTTGATTTTTAAACCAATCATCCAACCACACATACTACCTAATTAATATTTAACCATTCTGTTCATTCAGTAATCTAGCTTTTATTTTAGATTTAGCTATAATGATTGAGCTATTTTTTATAGTTTGTGGCAGTTCAGAGTATGATGCATAAATATCATATGTAAAAGATTTCCTAAAAAACTCTGTGTTACGTTCAGGAGGGTCAATTAACCCTCTATGACGAGTAAGGATGTTATGGACATCATCTCTGAACCTAATTTTGTTGTATAGGTAAGGTGGGGATTTAGTTTTAATTATTTTATGATACAAACAAAGCTTGTGTAACTTTCTTCTATAAGACATATTAAGCCAGCCTGATTGCCTTAAATATGGTGAGATATGTGCTCTTCTGTTTACTCCATATATGAGGCGGAGACATGAATTTTGCATTCTCTGTATCCTTCTTTTGTCAACTTCGTTTAAGTAAGTATCATAGACAGAATCACAATAATTAAAGTTTGAAAGTATTAATGAGTCACACAAAACTTTTTTGAAATTTTGGTTAAATATATGTCGATTAGCGTACAGCATTTTAAGTTTATAATAGGCCTTTTGTAACATACTTGTTACATGATTAGAAAAGCTTAATTTTGAGTCTAGCAATATCCCTAGATTTTTAGCACAATCTACAATTTCCAAAGGAGCACCATTAATTCTAATATCTACTAAATTTTTTACCTGATTAACTTTGGATTTACTGCCGAATAACATCATCGTTGATTTATTCAGATTTAATTTTAGCTTATGATCTGTAGAGATTGCAATTAACTTTTGTAAATCAGAAGATATTTTATCGTTAAATTGCCCATCCTTAATGTTAAACGAGAAGTAAATCTGACTATCATCAGCGTAAAAATGATAAAGGCAATGTTCTAGTACTTCCGGAAAGCAAGATGTGTAAATAATGTATAATAAAGGCCCTAAAATTGACCCTTGTGGTACTCCTTTAGAAATTGTAATGGAATCAGAACGATTACAACCACCCTGTTGCTTGCGCGAATTTAGGTAGCTTTTAAAGAGTGATACAGCACTATCCGAAAGTCCAATGTAATGAAGTATTGCTATAAGTAATTCATGGTTAATATTATCAAATGCCTTAGAGTAGTCGAGCAAAATCAGAAGAGTAACATCACCATTATCTATTGCAGTGTTTATGTCATCAATAACTTTAATAAGTGCAGTATTACAACTATGTCCAAACCTAAAGCCAGATTGTTTTTGGGGAAGTATATTAAAAGTATTTAGATGCTCCTTTAGCTTTATGGCCACAACTTTCTCAAAGATTTTAGACAAAATACTGAGCTTACTTATAGGTCGAAACTCATTTAGAGCTTTTGGATTTTTTATTTTAGGTATGGGCATTACAAGAGCTTGTTTCCAAATATCAGGAACCGTATTAGTTTCAAGGGCATAATTAACTAAGTGAGTTATATATGGCAAAATAAACGGGCAACAAAGTTTGATAACTGTGAGACTAATGTCATCCACTCCTTTTGCGTTACTTTTAAGGTTTTTAACTATATCGAAAATGCATTTAATTGATACTGGCATAAATTCAAGCTTTTCTGTTACTTCATTTTTAACATTTGATTTATAAAAATTTAATAAGGTAGGATCAGTTAATTGATTATTAATTCCTCCATGTACACCAGCAAAAAAATCATTTAAATCATTAATATTAAATAAATTCTCAGAAACTGTATTAGTCCTATCAGAAAACACGTCCATTTTGCGCAAAGTATTCCAAAGTTGTGTGTTACCAGCAGCTTTAGCCTGTTCATTAAGAAAAGCTTTTTTTTCCCTATCTATTGCACTACGAGTGAAGTTCCGTAAATTTTTATAATACTCAAAATCTTCACCATTTTTCGTTCTTAAAAATTTTTTATACGCCTTTTCCCTTAACTGTTTGAGTGATTTAATATTATGTGTTATCCATGGAGCCCAGGGCTTGGAAAAATTTCGAGTAACGTAAGGTATATGAGTATCCATTAAATGTTTAATATTTTCATTAAATATTCCAACTTTATCGTTAATATCATTAAATAAAAAAATATCATTCCACGGTAAGTTTTCAAGGTGAATATTAAAGCTTCCATCATCAAAGTTGGAAAAGCTTCTAAAAGTTTAAACACAAGGAGTAAATGACAAGTCTTTCATTAACAAACTACAGTAAATTAAAGAATGGTCAGCTAAATCATGTACTTGGATTACACCACTTTCAACCAATACGGTATCTGAATTTGTTATTATGTAATCAATAAGTGTTGATGAGTCTCTTGTGACTCTTGTAGGGTCCCTTATGATTTGTTTTAGGAGTTGAGACACGCCAAGGTACTGACGTTTTGAATATTTATTATGTTTTTCTACAAACGTGCTTTTGAAAAAATACATTAAAATTGGATGGACAAGTTAAAAAAAACCTGGATCTTTTGTAATATACTAAAATATTTACTATTGACTGATGACATCAAGTTGTCCAACTTTTGTAGAATCATCCATGAAGCATTTTTGTATTATTATAAAAATTTACGAATGTACTTATAATCAATTAGTCAGAATTGTTTAGTTAGTCCGAAATGGGAACTTAAAGGATTGTACTTAATACTGTTATATTTTATTCACTTTTTTCATTGTTCTAAAATTAGTTTTTCAGTTAATTAAACTCCATTAAATTCCCATGCCTACATAGATATCGGCAAAAAACTGGCTCTTCCAAGTTTAAATACGATAGGTAGTTTTCATAATTAGATATCTCGTTCCACTTATGATTGTTGAGGCTTTTGTTTACGCATTAGTTTTTATGGAAAACGGATGTAATTTGGCACATATTTGCATTTGCTTATTAAACAAATAACGAAATTAATAATTAAGTTTGTGTTAAATGTTAATTGTCTATTTTCGTGTATCTATTATTTTAAGCATGTGTTTTTTTATCAGTGGATCAATAATTATGACCTTGATTAAAGTTTTTATATGAAGTGAAAGTTGATTTAAAGTTTTCTTATTGTTCAACAATAATTGTTGTTAAAGGATGTATTATGTTTATCGTGAAAGATCCTTATGTTATGTTGGTTCGCCTGCAGGCATGGATTGCCGTTTTTATCTACTGATATTCCAAAAAAGGACATATCCTGTACACATGGGTGTTCCTGCATAATTCATCATTGATGATAAGTCTGCGTGCACTGTTTTCTGTGTGTTTGTTTGTACACTTCTTACCGGCTAACGGAACTGAAATTAGCACTTTTGATTTTGACCTATAAACTGTACTTATGCAGCGGATAGTATTTAAATTAATCTTGTTTAAATTGTAAAGCATGAGATAACAGCGTCTTGGTTTTTAGCCTTCCAACAACAGTTAATCCTGAGACATTTCTAATCGATTCGACTTTTTTGCTTTGCTAGATTTGTCGCTATATATATATATATATATATGTATGTATACATACATATAACTACAGTGTATTCAAAATGTACATTATTTATTTTTAGAATATGGGACTTTTATAAAGGGTTACTTTTTTCATAAAATTAATAATTAAAAAAAATCTCTCTTGGGTCATTTAAAGGCATTTTTTAATTTCATCCTTTTTGGGCTGAATATTTGTTGTCTTATATTTTTTTAAAACCATACTTACAATATTTGATTTGTCGCTATTTTATATTGAAAAAACAAAAAAATGGCAGAACAATAATAATTTTGTCCATCCGTCCATTCTTACTTTTGCCAAAAGAATTATGAACTAATAAATTTTTTGTAAAATTGTATTTTTTTCAGTTATCTCCTCGACATTGCTTCCATTTTAACTCCGTTATTATTGGAGATACAAATTTTTATAAATATAACACTTTTTTAAATGGAACACCCTGTATATTTTTAAATATTTTAAAGGACTATTTAATTTCTTACAAAACAATATTATTGCATTACTATATTAAGGGTATACCGTTAAGTTAAAAATAAACAATTAATAAGCACTTGAACTTTTTGATGATACCCAAATTATTACTTTATTTTTATCTACAGGGTGTCCCACAATTAGTGCGACAAAATGAGGGTGTATTATCTAAAGACCCCCAGGAATTCCAGAAAATTGTTTAAAAAATTCTTTCTTCATTATTTAATAAGATACAGGGGAGTCATATTTTCTTTATATGGCAACATTGCCTCATAACAAAGTAATATTTTAATTCTTAATCATCATGACAACAAACAACAATGTTAGAAAATGCCAAATTTAAATGTCAAAATTTGTTACTTTAAGTTATAAGTTATTTATTTTACGTCAGACAGGGACTTTTTTATCCAGTCTGACGTAAAATAAATAACCTATAACTTAAAGTAACAAATTTTGACATTTAAATTTGGCATTTTCTAACATTGTTGTTTGTTGTTATGATGATTAACAATTAAACTATTACTTTGTTATGAGGCAATGTTGCCTTATAAAGAAAATATGACTCCCCTGTATCTTATTAAATAATGAAGAAAGAATTTTTTAAACAATTTTCTGGAATTCCTGGAGGTCTTTAGATAATACACCTTCATTTTGTCGCACTAATTGTGGGACACCCTGTATAATGAGAAAGTGCTTATTAATTGTTTATTTTTAAGTTTAGGTAAATAAATGTATATAAACTGTATAAATTTACTCATTAAAATCAATAAAAGTTTCAATACATAAAGACAGGACAGGAAAGAAAAATTATAAAATTAACATACATTAACAGTTGCATTCAACAATGGCAGGGGCACAAAATGTTGGGGACAGCTTTAATTTTATAAATCTTTCTAAATTTACCATTTTGTTAATACAATAGTAATATTATAGTATAATTATAGGACAGATAATGCACGAGGATGAGGTTTTCGTCTCGAGTCGCCAGACGAGAGA